TGAGGTCGTCTGGTCTCATGTCACTGTCTTCCCGTGAGTCTGTTTATGTCTATGAATTGGAAAGCTTTATTCCTGAAGTACGTGTGAGTATACATTTCCCGGTAAAATCTTGATATCGGGTGTTGACATATCATCGGCACGCACGTGTACTATTGTTTACCATGGGCCTGTTCGTTTATGCGGAACAACCGGTTTGACCGTTTATAAATGTAACAATTTCGGGTGTAAATCCTGGCGGACCTGCAAATGTGTATGCAGGCCTTGCAAGGCTTTCTCAAGACTCGCCTGAAAGCAGCATCAGATTACTAGGTCCGACCTTATTTAATAAACGAACAACAGTGGTCCGATCGGTTTGACCGTTTAAACGAAAACGGCCCAGCAGGTGTTACTATAATTTGCACTACGATATTGAATGCCCGATACGCAATACGGAAATGACGACACGGTGTACATGCACATTTCGATTAAGATAATTGAGTCCTAGCTGTACTTTTTCCGGAAGTATGTCACGAAAATGGACGCTGATGACGATGTGTCGAGCCACCTTAAGTGTACAAATCATTAAACGGACTCGCAGTAAGTGCAGATTAGTGTTGATCAACATTGATGCAGTTTGTTTTTTATTATAAATAACATGGTTTTGACAGTCCGTAAACTTTACAGTTCTAAGCTTTATCGTAAATTCTTTTTTACTGATTTCATGCTAGTCTACTTACGAAAGATGTTCATAAACACGGAATGGCGAAATGCCGTACTTTTGCGTTTTATTTGTATCAAAGAATTAACAAGTGACAAAATGAAATTTGGATACTACGTTGGATTAACGCTATTGAAACCAATATTTTACTTCGAGGTATCCGAGTTTTTCGACTTTTCAGGGTTCGAATTATCAGAGTTTTATTTACTAAGATAAAGAAAAGATTTGGCCGGGACCGGAGAAATACTTCGAGATAAACAGGGTCTTTGAGTTAAAAGAGTTCGAGATAACGAGGTTCGACTGTATATGATATTCAATTGAAATCTGATTTTTTTAAAATTTGAATCTACTGTTACAAAACAAAATGATTCAAAACATCAATTCAAATAATTTGTCATAAAAAATTACGTCATTTATTATAAATTAAGCTATATACAGTCTCAATATATCAATTCAGAAATGAGTATTATTAAGAAGTGATATCATGATCAATGACTGCAATTTTGTTCATACCTGTTATTATTATATAAGTCTTCTTTTATTAGCTGCTTCCAATTTACCATAAGATATTTGGAAAGTAAGGAAGTATTTTAGAATAAGCTAGCATACACCCTTAACTTTGACTGACCTTGACACCAGCAACTGTTGAAGCAGCCTTATCCTTGTTTGCATCAAAAGCTACGTCCTACAAAAACAAAACATACATAAATATGAAACTATTAAATGAAAGATATTACCAAACAAGAGGCCCAGAGGGCCTGTATCTCTCACCTGGATATCTAAGCAATCATGACAAAATATCCCAAAATGAGATCGAAAGGAATATGCCAGACCCCAAGGCCAATCCTCGTAGCATATCTGTATTAGATTTTTCATGCCCAGCAATGTTATGTATGGTTATTGGTTGAGGATCTCAACTGTTTCTAAGCTGTGACTCAGAAACTAGGTCCCTAGGGTTGTGGCCAGACCCCAGGATCAATTCTAATATCATGACTGCATTCATTTTGCCCAGCATTTGTATTTATAGTTTTGGGGTGGTGATCTCAACTGTTTCAAAGATATGACCCAGGGATTAAGTCTGCAAGGGTGGGGCAGACCCTGGGGTCAATTCTAATATCATGACTGCATTAGTCTCTTTATGCCCAACAATTGTATATATAGTTTTTGGATGGGGATCTTAACCATTTCAAAGTTATGACCCAGGGGTTAAGTCTCCTAGGGTGGGGCAAACCCCAAGGGCATAATGAGAGCATATGTGCATTCATCTCTTTATACTCATCAATTGTATATATGGTTATAGGGTGGGGATCTCAACTGTTTCCAAGCTGTGACTAAGAAACTAGGTCCCTAGGGGTCTGTCAGGCACAAGGTTCTATTCTAATATCATGACTGCATGCATTCGTCTCTTTATGCCCAGCATTTGTATACATAGTTTTGGGGTGGGGATCACAACCGTATTAAAGTTATGACCCAGGGACTATGTCTCAAAGGGTGGGGCCAGACCCTAGGGCCATCCTGGAAGCAAATGTGCATACTTCTCTTTATACTCAGCAATTGTATATATGGTTATATGGTGGGGAACTCAACAATTTCCAAATAATAAATTTAATTTGGCACCACTCCTTAGCCCGGGGGGTCAGCCCCACCATTTGTACAATTTTGAATCCCTGCCTCACATGAATGCTTCCAACCAATTCAAGTATGATCGATATCCATGGCATAGTTCTACAGAAGAAGTCATTTATAACAATATAGCCAAATTGCCTGCCCCCTTTTGGCCCCGCTTCTCAGCCCCCTCGTTGGTCAGCCCAACCATTTGTACCATTTTGAATCCCCACCACCTAGGGATGCTTCCAGTCAAATATGGTTGATATCAATCACTTAGTTCCAGAGAAGAAGTCGCTTAAAGCAACATAGCCAAATAACCCTTTTTGGCCCCCGCCCCTCAGCCTCCTGAGGAGTCAGCCCAACCATTTGTACAATTTTGAATCCCCATCACCTAGGGATGCTTCCAGTCAAATTAATTAAATTCCAATCAGTGGTTAAGTAGAAGTTTTTTAAAGAAATTGTTGACATACGGACTGACGACGGACGCCACGGTATGGCATACCAGGTGAGCTAAAAATGAACACAAATCATCTCCTAAAATGGACATTTAGACTATATATGTCATAATGCCCGGTCATATTTCTAAATTGACGAAACAATTACATTTCACAGACAGCCATAAATATTTATCTAGGTTATTTATGTATGTGTATGTGGGAAAGGAGATCAGAGTTACAGGTACAAAGTACAAAGTATGTTAATACAACGGGACAGTTGTAAATAACAATTTGTTTTGCAATAATGTACAATATTTATTTACATGTATGGCGCCCTCATGTATTTTGCATAATTACTCTATTTGCACTTAATATTACAACCCATCAATAATAGTTTTCCTACAGTGACAGTTATAAATAAAGTAGATAAAAAAAGACACACAGATCTGCATTATACATAGCAAAATCTTTTTCTTTTTCTTTTTTTAAATAATACTTTTTATCTGTTATGTAATACAAAAATGTCAGTAATGAGGTATAGACTGTTTTGACAGATTTATGTTTCATTTAACATTTTCCCCTCTGAATGATGAGTGTCATACTGTGATTAACCTCATTTATCACCTGACAGGAATTGTGTATTGAACTTAAGCTCGGCAGGAAGTGGGTTATCTTATCTTAATAATTTAAGCTCCGAGATAATGTTGGCTGTGTTTACAACAGATGTACAACGGTGTATCTGTTATTGTACATTCCTTGTCTGCTTACTAAATAAAACTTCACTTACAAGATTCAAGCGACGGATCTGTTGCATTTATCAGAAATTACGTACAGACTTTGTACATGTATTTACAGTCGACAGTAAATAAACATAGTTACAAATGGGTTTTGGTAAACAAAAACATATGTCTACTTTTAATTATTATATAAACTCTATTAGGCAGAGATGGGTAATGCAAGCATACTTCAACTTTTATAATGATGTTGTAACAGTTTTCAACTTACAACCTAGACAGGATTTTACTGAAAAAGTTGCATATATTTGACCTTTGACTTTGAAGTGAAGGTCACTGAGAACTAATTAAAATATACTGCATCCCATCTGCAGTTGATGCAGTTATACGTAAAAACTCATTAAGATATATCCTCATTAAGTTGTTTAAAATTGATGGCTAAGACAGGCTGCAACTTCAAGTGAAAAGGTGACAATGTAAACTTACAGGGAATAGGGGTGTGCAATTTCATTTTTAGAATACCAGCCTGCAAGTTGATTTTGAAAAGTTATTTTCATAGTAAATATTACTATTACTTTAGTAAATATTGAAAATTGAAAATTTTCACCAGCTCCAGTTAGTGTTATTGTAAACCTCTGAAATACCCTGCCATTTTTAGCTCACATGGCACTTTGGTTTAAAATTGATGGCTAAGACAGGCAGACTTCAAGTGAAAAGGTGACAATGCAAACTTACAGGGAATAGGGGTGTGTAATTTCATTTTTAGAATACCAGCCTGCAAGTTGATTTTGAAAAGTTATTTTCATAGTAAATATTACTATTACTTTAGTAAATATTGAAAATTGAAAATTTTCACCAACTCCAGTTAGTGGAATTGTAAACCTCTGAATTACCCTGCCATTTTTAGCTCACCTGGCCCGAAGGGCCATGTGAGCTTATGCTGTACAGCGTCTTCCGTTGTCCGTCTGTCTTCCGTCAGTCAACTTTTTCTTTTGAACAACTTCTTCTGAAGAACTGTAGGACCTTGGGTCATGATATTTGGCCAGTAGGTACCTGGGATGGTGTGCTATAAAGTCTCCTCATTAAAATGACCTTGAACTAGTTTCAAGGTCACAGGGGTCAAATATGTTAAAAACTTCAAACAACAATATCCAAAGAACCATTTGGACTAGAGTCATGATACTTGGGTATGTTATGGAGACCAGCAGTGCAAATATTTTCTTCAATTACAGTAATGAGGTTAAAGGTCAAATTCAAGTGCTAGTCGGGGGTCAAATGTCAACATGGGTTAAAAGCTTTAACAATCTTCTTCTCAAGTTCCATAAGGCCCAGGATCATAATATTTGGCCAGTAAGTACCTGAGATAGAGTGCTATAAAGTTTCCTCATTTAAATGACCTTGACCTAGGTTCATGGTCACAGGGGTCAAATATGTTAAAAACTTCAAACAATAATATCCGAAGAACCATTTGGACTAGAGTCATGATACTTAGTAATGTTATGGAGACCAGCAGTGTGAATCTTTTCTTTTTACAGTAATGAGGTGAAAGGTCAACTTAAAGTACTTGTCAGGGGTCAAATGTCAACATGGGTTAAAAGCTTTAACAATCTTCTTCTCAAGTTCCATAAGGCCCAGGGTCATGATATTTGGCCAGTAAGTACCTTGGATAGAGTGCTATAAAGTTTCCTCATTAAATGACCTTGACCTAGTTTCAAGGTCACAGGGGTCAAATATGTTAAAAACTTCAAACAATAATATCCTAAGAACCATACTGACTAGAGTCATGATACTTGGGTATGTTATGTAGACCAAAAGTGCTAATCTTTTCCTCAAATACAGTAATTAGGTCAAAGGTCATTAAAGTGCTAGTCGGGGGTCAAATGTCGACATGGGTTAAAAGCCTTAACAATCTTCTTCTCAAGTTCTAAAAGGCCCAGGGTCATGCTATTTGGCCGGTAGGGACCATGGATGGAGTGTTATAAAGCTTCCTCATTAAATAAACTTGACCTAGTTTCAAGGTGACAGGGGTCAAACATGTTAAAAATTTCAAACAACGATATCCTAAGAAGCATTTGGTCTAGAGTCATGATACTTGGGTATGTTATGTAGACCAGCTGTGAATCGTTTTCTTTATTACAGTAATGAGGTCAAATGTCAACTTAAGTGCTAGCCGGAGTCAAAGGTCAAAGTGGGTTAAAAGCTTTAAATTTCAAATTTCAAACAACAATATCTTAAGAAGCGTTTAAGAGATGCTAAAATGTCTTGTGTTCTAGTTACCAAATTTGGTCTGAAGTTACCTATATGTCAGTTTCATGTAAACAAAAGAAACAGGTGAGCAATACAGGCCCTCTGGGCCTCTTGTTTAAAATTCTGTTTAAGTGACCCAGTTTTGGTACACTCAAACACTTTATTGTTTTTCGTTCAATTATACCCTACCGAGATTTGGTACTTCCTCTAGTGTTTTGTTGTTTTTAAGAAACTACTACCTAGATTTGGTGGTTTTTCTGTTGTTATTGTTAAAACTATGACCTTGTATGTCATAACTTTTTGTTCCCATACAATGACCTAATTTTAGTATTATCAGTGACCTAGATTTCGTACTTACTTCAGCTGGTTTTAGTATGTATACTAACCTCTGGTGTTTTGTGGTTTTTGCTGAACTGTGATACTGAAAATGATCTTATGTAATCACCCATTTCTTCTCTAGTCTCAATAGCCTTCTTCACAAGCCACTGTCAAAGAAATCAAAATTAAACATTTAATAATAGTGAAACCCCAACTTGCAGTGCCACTACCACATGTAAAAATAAGTAATGTAATGTTTTAACCTTGACATAGCAACATGACATCACAAACTGTCAGATTATTCTGACAACCAATAAAATAATTACTGTCTCTTCCAAAATAGTTTCTAACTAAAAACATGTAAGATATCTATATTTATTAATACATGTAGGTCATGTGGACTTGAGTCAAATAAGTGACAACACATATACTCCAAAAGTATTTTTGCTGGTTTTTAATTTTCATGATTTTACGTAATGATTTTCACCAAAAAAAATTAAACCCAAAAATTCAGTAGGAATTTGATCAATTTTTAATGTAATATCATGTGTCATAGCCATAAACTATGAAAAAAACTCCTGAAAAATTGTCCATTTAAGTAATTCCTCAAAAATTAGGGACAGCAGAAAACACTAGAGAAAATGTAAGCAATGCAAGCTAGCATCATTTCTATCTGCACATTCAAACTTTGTTGGCAGGGGGTACAATACCCGATTCACAAATCCCTTCATTCATGCACATCTACATGTAATGTCCTTTCCCTTTGCTAAATTACCAAAACTCCAAAAACGGTTCAGGAGAAGTTGTGCTCAGAAGTTTTCTGGAGCAGAAAATAAAGTTTAAAAGGGCCATAACTCAATGAAAAATCATCAAATTGCAAATTCCTTTCTAAATGCATATCGGCTCAAGATGTACTTTCACTGTGCCAAATTATGAAAATATCTGACACATAATTTAGGAGAAGATGTACTTACAAATTTTTTGAAACAGAAATTTTAAGTTTCAAGGGAGATAATTCCAGAAAAATAATTACACTGTAATCCAAAATTAAGGAAATTTGTACCAAGCTTCATTGGGACTGTAACGATACACCAAGGTATATGAATTTGGAATTTTGTAGAACTAAAAAAACAATTTCAATCACAGTAATGTGACTCAAGACGGCCACCATCACATCATAACTTCATTCAGCACATGATCAGATGTCATCTTTTTGCAATTCAGGAGGCAGACAATTCAATGTCAGAAATGGATTTATTCTGCTATTGAACCTTAGTAAGAGAAAGTGTGGGTATCTGTAGGGTGGGAATCGTGATGACTGCATCTCCTTACCTGTACTACTGGATAGATGTGGATGAAATCGAGACCTTGGATCTGATGGGGCTCAATCCGATGAGGGCACCTCATTTTTGGTAGCACTCCTACAATCTTCTCCGTCAGCTCACTGTCACATAACGCAACATGAAAATGATGTGAGGTTACAACGGTCGACCATCAGAGCTGGCCCTGACTTCGCAAAATTATCGTTGGTTCAATATTTTTTAAGGGTTTATTTACAAGAAGTTGCTATTTATTTTTTTGTAGCCTGATTTCTATTTTGAACAGATTATAACTTTTAAGAAATAAAAAATGTTTTCTTTTTTTTAATCTGATGAACTGTTAAGTTTAATAATTAAATGTATTTATATATAGTCATTTGTTCAATATTTTTTGAGGAATATATATATAATATTATATATATAAATTTATATCAAAGAAAAAAATAAGATAAGAAACAAATTGAGTTTTGATGCAGTAAATGCATTCAAACGAAAGAAAAAATCTTTTCATGATTGTTTTTACATAACGTTCAAATTCAAAAAAGAGGAGTTAATACATTTTTTGTCCAATTGTAGAGTTCTCCTGAAACAGCAGGTCGATATCAATGTCAATACTGCAGGTTGTAATACACCATGTCATTCCACCAACGACCTGTAACCAGACAGATCAAGGTTTGTCATCAGCTGTCTATAGTTAAGGTCCAATATGGAACCAAGTTTGAATTCTGTTCCACAGGTAAAAAATTTTATGTTTCTCAATTGTTGTCTAAAATTGCTCAATGAAAATTCATGTAATATTGAAATGTTCATTCTGGTAACCTAGGCTACATGACAGATTAAATGATGCTTTTAGATGGTATTTAGGCAGAGCCTGTATGTGCATGTACAATGTAGCATTTTTTTTCCATATTTCAAAGCACATGCGCTGTTATTCGCAATATATTAAAATACAAACTCTAGATCTGTACATAATGTACAATGAGCTGAATTGAGTCAATTCTGTCCATATATAACAACTATTGTACATACGCTTACAGCGTAACCGAATAGACATCGATTTGTGGACAACTCATACACATTTTACACCTTAGTGTGCATACGCTTCACTGGTCATTTGTCTGATGAAGGTGACAGAGTACATACATGTACCGTACTAGTCATTGAAACATCACATAGAAACACTTATTAATTGTGTAACAAAAAAATGTTCATAATCCATTACTATTACCAACCCGAAGAACATGTTTAAAATCAAACTAAAATATATGTCCCAAAAATCACCGATATAACATGAATAGAATGCTAATATATGAGTTAGTACTTCAATTATTATTATGTGGTTTCATGTTTAAAAACCATTTTATCAATAGAAATGTTCTCAGTCTGATTAAGTATGTATATATAGTGTGTCAAATTATGTTGTATCCTTATTCATTGTACTTTTATTTGTATAATAAATCAACTTCTATATTATTAATAACGTAATTACCTTATCAAAGGGAGACAACCCTTTGATCCTTGCACGGAAATACCCAGCAGCCAATAACAAATCAATAATTTGACCAAGTTTGACATTCTGTTCCTCATCTTCTCGTACATCAAACTGGAAAAAAATATGCATATATCAAACTGTAAAAATATCTATATACTTATCTATACAAACTATCTTTTACCTTCTTTAATTTACAAACAAATTTGCATATAGAAGTATTACACAATGTGTATACATGTATATAATAATTTACAAATACATAGGAAATACGTTACTGACATATATATCTTATATTATTATCATTATATAATTATATATATAGCTACAGAGTAATAAATCATTTATCTCAGCCTTTCTTTTTCTTTCTTTCAAAACAGACATACAAAAATATACCAAACAGCAGTCTTGACAATAATATAATTGACAATAAGACCAGGCAGGGTTTATACAATTTTATCCCCTCTTTTTGTTGTTGTTTTCATTGAATGTTCATTGTAAATTTGAAGCAAAGTATTACGGTAAGTGAAATTTGAAAGAATGTATCTTACATAATTCTTTCTGAAAACATCAATATAATTGGCGCCCCATACCACACACAATAATAAAGAGTAGTTATAGGCAATTGGTTTAAACTCATAATCAATAATTGGTTTGTAATCAGAAGAAGTAAACCAATCGATGATCGATTACACAATCGGTTTATAATATTTTGGGACTGAACACCAAAATAAAGTGAAAACACTATACATTCAATTTTGTTCTTTTATTATTTTAATGAATGGATAGCAAGCAACCTTCATGCATTTTTATCAATCAGATAGTATAAATAATAACAATATATGACTTTCAAAGCATACCTTTCACAGAAGACATTTAAATACTTTGATTTCAATAATGAACCTATTATATCGATTATGGAATTTGTAATCGATAATTGGAATCGGAAAAGGCAAACCGATCGATTTTCGATTATAATTGATCATCAGCCTGTCACTAATAAAGAGTAAAACTTGCAGTTTAATATATCATGCAACTTTTGTCAGATTACAAAGGGCATTGCAACCACAATATGATATGTCTTAAAATCTTTATATATTGTTTCACAGTTGTTTATTGATGACACAACCATATATATTTGTAAAATTGGCACTGAATGACAAATTGGTTGACTAAACTTGGTACAACATGATGTGTTATTACTCTTGGCTTTGCTTTAACATAACATACAATAAGTAGTGTACACTGTGGTTCTTTATGTTATTATGTATACAATGTATTATGCAGGTGACATACTTGGATTCTGAGTTATATCATTCTGCAATATTGATTTAGAATGGGCCATGGTCGGGTTGTTTTTTTCGTTTGATAGTTACATTGTATATATATACTTGCATTATAATGAAAGTATTCTACAGGTAGGGATTACCTATCACTTGATGAGTTGGTCAGTACATCCTCTCGAGTCAGAGGAAAGAAATCCTTCCAATTATAAGTATGCTTCACTCACGGACTAAGAGTTTGTTCACAGTGGAGTACAGATCAGATGAGGCATATTTTTTCTCTCTCTTAAATACTATTTATCCATATTGGATATATATTTGTATATGGCAACTTCGCATTCACTTAGTGGGATTTGTAGGTTATGTAGATTAAGGTAATTAGGAAAGAATTGTTTTAAACCATTGTCTAGATTACATTTGATAAACCAATTTAAGATACCACCAGCTCGATCCTCTTATGATTCAGTGATTACAATATAATCCTTGTGACAGTGAAAAATGCAGTTGTGTTTTCCTATGTATAAGTTATGTAGTGACTGTTTTGTGTCGTTTAACGTTTATTAGTCAGCGTTTAACGTTAGTGCAGGCAAATTTGCCATGCACTCAAATTCGCCACCCTATGAAGAAAATGCCAGATGACGTCATAATACATGAGATGTGACATGAATAACATCACCATAGTCTTCAATACAGTTAAAACCTTCAAATAAATTGACAAGAGGTATAAGAAGGGAAAAGTTATACTTTTAATCAAAGTTATTATGAAATATCTTTTAACACCATGAATCTTAAAAATTTGGTCGCTCGTCAACTAAACTCATAAATCTGAGGCCAGTTGGTTGTTATTTAGTGTAAATTCATTACATACACATTTAAAATACCCATATCTTAACGCTAATTGCAGTTAATGATCGACTGAGCCGTCAATGCAAGTAAATTGTTTTTCTACAAGTGTACTTTGGTACATATGTATGTACAATGTACTGACGATCCAATGCATGTTTATGGAAATAACGATTGGAAAGATCCACGATTTGATAATTTGTCGGTTTCCAATTTCATGCGATGTGATTTTAGAATACAATCAACCAGTGCCTTTTTAAAAGTATTGTTTGCGTCTTACATTCAACCATCTTACAACACTTAAATTAAAATACCATCTAGAAATTTTCTAGATTTATATCTGAAAGCAATTTGTTGTCGGCCTGTCACACAAAAACTGATTTTTACATGAAAATGTAAGTACATTTACAACACATGGCCGGACAGTCTTTGTTGAATAAGTTTTCAAGCCAAAGAAAATCGTTTTAATTTGTCAGATGTTTCCCGTTGCATGCAAGACGATCTGAGACGTACATGTGACAAATTATCCAAATTCCGGGGGGNTGGTGATGCGTGACGTCATTCAGGCGTGTTTACAACAATGTTTATTTATAGGCGTTTCAGTCAAATCCTCTTCTATACTGGTGCTCGTCGGCATTTTAATACATACATTTTTGGACGAATTATTGGCCGAAACCCTTACTTATGTGACGAATTTGCCTTCACTAACGTTAGAGTCATGCAGTACATTTAGTACTGGAGTCTTGTTTACTAATGACGAATAAGAAAACAACGGGCCCGGGCACCTGTCACAAACAAGGGTAACAACTTTTTAGTTCGTTCGTTGTTACATTTTTTACACCTTTACCTCAATCTCATTTCCATCAGCATCATACTGCGTTTGTAACTTTGATGAACCAGATCTAGCCCTCGCAAATACACTCCCACCAGTGGACGCCATTTTGATCTCTTTTGAGAATAAAAAGTCACATGATAAGAATTATTTTTAGAAAAATATAACCCGGAAGTTTTTCTATGCCGGCAAATCTAACCTTTGACTTATTAACCCAAATGGCTGGAGCATCAGCCCATATATTGATTGGTGGTTTATTTATAGTTTTGGAAAATGCCGAAATTTGATTGGTCGATTCTTGTCAGCCGACTGTGTGGTATCGTGCGATATCAGTCGACATAGAATGTCTATATTATGAACTGAAGCAAGCAAGACAAGCCTGCATAAAGTTCTTTCCATGAACCGATGAGTATACACATCTGTGATAACAAGGAATGAAGGCTGAACTGTGATATATCAGATTACTCTGGTAAGTATTTCGGTTGTTTTCTGTGTTATTACGACGAATTTGTAGCAACCATCTGATCAACGTTGTATCATACCTACTGTAGATACAGTACAGAGCATAATATCTGAACTTGACGTCAGCTGATTGAAACTTGACTCTCGACTTTTTGGGGGTTTTTCGTATTCAGATATGTTTGACTGGTTTAGATATACACTTGTAACAATAGACTCTACGTTTTACTTTTAAGTTACTAGAGCTATTATGCCGATTTTGGAAAAACGCAAAAAGTTATCGACTTCCATTCCAAAAATAAATCCACGTCAAGTCCTACTTCAAAAATAAGTCCACGTCAAGTTTACCCCACTATCCTCTTACTTCCTGCCCTGAGAAACTGCTGTGATCACTATAGAAGGAACTCGATTAGGATTTAAAACGAAAAGTTAACTGTAAGTGTGTGTCCGAGCCTTTAAATTGTGGTAATCTCATAATTTTTTGACATAAACACGTTGCCATGGTAGACTTGGATGACAACTCTGCATGATTCCATGTACCGATGAGTGGGCCACAGGGGTTCATAACGAACTCCTGTGATCTTCCTTGGTATTGCAAATTCTCACTGATGTTAATTACTTTGAAAATACATGTGGGGAGGAAGAGTGAAGCAGTACTAGTACTGCCATTAACTGGACTCTCGTCTCTAGTCTAGGCCAATCCACGACTACCTGCATGAGTTTCTCTTCGTTCATAGACAAATTAGATATATTGCATATGAAAGTGTGAAACCCAGTTAAATATGGTCATGCAATTTCCAGGTGTAGTACCCAAAGTATCGCACTGTCTCAATGTCTAAGCTTATGGGTGCAAATTTTGAGAGCAACGTTTTCCCCACGACTCGGTCCCATCATATCGCCTTAAAGTTTTGAAAAAATCCTGAAAGTCCTTTATGTGTATATCACTAAAATTACACTTGCTCTAATATCTTGCATCCAACATCTAAGAATGGAAAATTACACTAGCCTAGCACCCAGGTCTTGTACATATTATGTTTATATTATTGACAAGTAAAACAAGTCTGACCTTATTATATAATAAATCTATAATACTTCGGAATATTTTTTCAGCTTGTAATGAAATTGATACAATAGGGAAATTGAACATCAAAATACAAGTGGTCTTCAAATTCTCTTTCATTAGGTTGGTCACACAAGCAGGTTTTTAGTGCTCAACAGTACTAGTACGTATGCCTAAATTATGACAACTTCTCCTGAATCCAATTAAATTAAGGTAAATCTGTATAAACAGAACCTACAAAAATTAAAGCTACAATGACAAACTCTAACAACATATAAACTTTTGTAATTGGTAAGGATTCCAGATCTTAACAGTGGGGTGATATGTGGTGTGATGATTATATTGATGATGTCATTCAGGGAAAAAAGGACTATTTGAGTCGGAGTGCAGTATTAATTTATGCATACTTAAAAGCAGAACACATGATAACATTTCAATTCATATGTACCCAAGCTAAAATTTATATATATATAAACCTGAAGAGCCCTGTGAAGGGTGAAAGCAGCTAGTTTTTTAGTCGGTCGTTAATTTTATTTTTTCTATATATATATATATATATATATATTGTATTGATATTTATTTTCAGTATTTAAACCAAGATCTTCAACATTCGAAGTGGAAACTGTCTGTGATAGAATATCAACAATGGCTGTTTCAACAATGCTAATGAGAGGGTCAGTGCTGTTTTTTGTCGGCATGTTCTTTGCACTGGTGCTGAACTTCCTACAGATCCAGAGCGAGTCTTCGTTGGAACTTCACTCCTTTCCTGACGAAGTTTTACAGCTGTTTGCCTCAGCTTGGTGGGTGCCGTTAGGATGTGGACTAGCAGCAGGTAAATTTTGGTTCAATGAATAACCATCTCCCATTGATGCCACATCTGTGTAGTGTTTTGCTTCCAGGAGCAAAGAGGCCATTATTAAAGAATATTAGTCAGTAAGAACAACATTTGAAAGTCGGATGAATTTGGAAACTTGTATCCATGTCGGATTGTCACGGTGTGGGAAAGTTACAAGACTCTGTCTCGATGACTTTTGATTGAATGGTAGTGATATCACTGGAGGCCTTTTGAAAAGTAGGAGCACAAGTTAATGATAAATCTGGTAACCTACTTTGAGTACAAGTATGTACATAACATACACAGGTACATATCAGTTTTAAAAACAAACCTACGTCATTAATACTGACAATAGACCTACAGAAAACTAGGACGTGTTATTCTGTTGTGAACATTATCTGTGTAGATATACTTCAGCACATGAACATGCCCGAATGTCAAGCATAAATATTTACTGAGTGCGATACAGATATGCCTATTGACGTCTGCACCACATACAGGCAATCAACACCTGTGTATTGAGTCGTAGGACAAGTGATAAGGTTATCTTGTTTGTATGTGTATCTATACTAGATAGTTATATACATTTAGTTCAAAAGGTAGGACTGTTCATTCAGATGTTCAAAATTTTCAAACTTTAATTTCATGCACATGTACGTATTATGTAATATAATAAATCAGTATAGTTGATCAATGTAAAGAAGAAGAAAACAATCCGCTTGCGTACATACGTACATGTACATATATATATGTGTTGCTTTGTGATCTAAAACTTTGTTGTGAAAAACATTCACATGCAAATTTTCATGAAAACAGAAATTGATATGTCATTTTCAATGGAAAGAAGAAAAACATTTCCAATTGCACACACATATATATATGTACATATATGTGTTGCTTTGTGACCTTAAACTTTGTTGTGTAAAATGTACACAGGAAAATTATCATGAAAACAGAAAAAATGATTAACACTTCAACATAATTATTTGAGAAAAAAATTGTCCTTGCTATTGTAGATTAGGTTTAGGCAAACTATTAAATTTCACATATTTGTTGTTGTGCATGTCATGTTGTGTTAAACTTATAGTTTTTAAAAATGTGTATATACATGTAATATAATATGTTCTGTAGATGCTAATTACACTGATGTTTTGTTTGCAGCGTTTATTGGCCTGGTGTACCCACTACTGGACAAACGTCTAGGCGAGCCCAACATGTGTAAGGGGGAGTGGTCCAGTGTGATGCGCTGTGTGGCGGTCTTCGTAGGAATCAACCATGCCAGTGCTGTATCCTTTCTGTTTCATAACTATTTTTAGATGACATTGTCACTGTCAGACTCATCATATCCAATCTAATGAATACTTTTATACTTAAATTATGGGTACTTTTTCATATCATTTTATCTCGAGAATATTTTACATGTCGCGATGCGTTATTCAAGATTTGTTTCATGTTTGCGAAAAAGTTGCTTTTGTCATTTGACAAAAAAAAATCTCTTCTGTTTCCTGCAAAACCATGATTAATCATATTCTGCGTATCATATAATATACTGTGTAAAATTTCATTATTGAAGGCATTATTACTCGGATCAAAGCTGACAATTTATTGAATTATAGATTGCCCCAAATTCCACTATAAAAGCAACTTGCAAATTATTGATTCATGAATGAAAAATTCCATTTTCCCCCCACACTTTCACCATATTGGCAAAATATTAAAATTTCAGAAGTTTCTAGGTGTCTGAAGGCCATAATTTGCATACATGTATGAATAGAAAGCATTTTTTACTTAACCTTTGACCAGAAAATCGATTTTGCCAACAACATGCAGCTGTCTGTATCCCTGGCAGCGATGTCCATTGGCCTGTGGTGGTTGTTTGACCGATCCAAGAGTGGTTTCGGGCTTGGAGTTGGTATTGCTGTCCTAGCAACCCTCATTACGCAGCTTCTAGTCTACCATGGCGTTTACAGGTAGGTTTCAACTACAGAACAAGACTTTGAAATGTTGAAAATGCGCAAGTACATACTTTGATGAAAAAATCCAGGAATTTTCCTCTACCTAAAAAGTGCCTTTTTTTCCCAAAAACTGAGGAATATATTCCCAATTTCAATACAAATAATGCTATATTTTCTCAATTTATTAAAGGGACAATTTAGTGAAGTAAGTTTTTTTGATTACCTGAAAATCAAGACAATACTGAAAATATATATCTCCTGACGAAAGTTTACGTAGTTGATAATGACATGACCTGAAGCCAACGTCCAGTGTGATCAGTTTCATCTTTTGGGAAAGCCAGTGATAAAAATAACTACGACCGAAATAGCGCAATGTCTGGGCATTTGTGTGAGAATTCCGAAGTAAACATTGTACAGCGCTACGCTGTCAACCGACAACACGGTGTCCGTTATGAGTCTGACTTCGCACATAACTGATTCTTGAATTTACACAATACATCGCAAATAAGAATTATAAATATCATACTATATACCTCTAATCAGATATTTCCTTTAACATTTAGATTTGAATAAGAACGAACAGGTTCAATTAGAGCATGCACACACTAATTAGAGGGTGTTGAAGGGAGAATTTCAAACCACAGAAAGTATGATATCAATGGGTTTTAAATGTAAAATAAATCACTTAATTATAACGATGTTTAAGATGCTGTTGGAAGATGATTTTGATTCATAATAATTGCATATACTTATATTCAGAGAGGCTAGGTTAAAAAAAGCAAGAATTTGCCTTCTCTCCTCGGCTGGAAAGACATTTTTGTTTAATTGCTAGAAATTCGTCAACAGCTGCCGCTAAAACGTACGGCTGTATACATGTACAGTTAAGGATTTCTCAATTACTGATTAAAAATGCCAAGAAAACATTGTCTCTTGTTAATTTCTCGACATGAATTGTTCATAGGGAGTATCAAACTATATAATCATTAAGAGTTTTGTGACAAGGTTATAAAAAAAACTTACTTCACTAAATTGTCCCTTTAAGGAACAGGCTGTTGCAAAATTTAGGTAACAAAAACACTGACTTGTCCTGATCTAAGGCATTTTTTGTTCCATCCATTTATAAGAACATTAGCCAATATTAATTAACATCAATCAAAAATCAGGACTGAAAAATGTAAGGATGAATCTTGCTTGGGAACATTTCAACACTCTCGTATGAATGAAACTGGACGAAAAAAAATCCTTTTCAACATCCTCGTAATTTTAGGTGAAACTGCCAAAAAATGTGTATACATGTCTGCAAAATAAATTTCAAATTACTCTTGCTTTACAAATTGGTTTCGGTATTTACTTTCAGAATGTAAAAGTGTTGTTTTAATCTCCACAGGTACACCAAGGCAGAATTTCTCTTCATTAGATCCTGGCTGCCATGCATTGTTTTTTCTGGTGGAGTAACTATGGGAAATATTGGCAGACAGCTAGCAATAGTAAGTAAAACTCATGAACCAAAGTAATTAGGGTTATTTAGGTTCATTAAAAGTGCCTCTCTATACGTATATATATATATTATTCAGTTGAAAGCTTTGCAGAAATGCATGTGATAACTTTTGGAGAGTAATTGGAATTCAAATTTATAAAAAAATAATCTTTTAAGGACGCTTTTCTGTGGTCACATGATATGATATTGGTGAGGATAAGGCATTTGATCTTGCATTAAAAGTTATTCAGTTACGCAAGTTTGTTATTTTATAACAAAATTTACAATAATTGGTGGATACATGAACTACTTCAATACAATTTTAACATATAAATTTGTAAATACAAAATTTCAATACCTGAAAAATCAATCCTGTTATTCAACATGAATGGAGGAGCATGCTAAACAAGATATCTACATGAAGTTCTGTTACAAAATATTTACATGTATTTCTATTACAAGATATCTACATGTAGTTCTATTACAAAATATTTACATGTATTTCTATTACAAGATATCTACATGTAGTTCTATTACAAGATATCTACATGTAGTTCTATTACAAGATGTCTACATGTAGTTCTATTACAAGATGTCTACATGTAGTTCTATCTGATTATTATATCTGTTTTTTCAATTCAGTATGACGGCCATGACTCTGAGGAATCCAAGGTGAAGACAGATTGAGGGCCTCCTACAAAACCTTGCTTGGAGGAAAATCGTTCATTAAATACCAAAAATGTATTCGCCACATTGTGTTCAACAACAGCTGGCCATTTGAACTGCTGATCAATCAACAGCTGCTTCTACAAGCCATAAATCAGCTCGAATGCTGACTGTAAGCTTAGATCTGATTAGTCAACGGTTCTCATCATGTGACTTGAGTTTTATAGCTCAAATGCCGTATGTAAGGCTAGGTCCAACTCTGATTGGTTCCTTGTTCTACGACCAATTGATGTTGGTGAACTTTGACATCTCGGAAAGCCATGACTAGTTGTTCCATCTTTTGGAAAAGCACCTGGCCTGTTACTCCTCGCCAAGAAGAGGAAAGGTTTTCAAGATAATTCTGAGATATTTCAGCAATTATTATTCCTGCACAAACTTAATTGTGTTCAAAAAGCGTATGGTAGGAAAGTAGCACATTTATGTAAGATTTTCTGAGGAACACTGATTTTACGGTTGCAGGATTTTTCTGTCACCATGGAAATTGTTCAAATGTTCTGATATTGCAGAACTTGTACTGCAAATTCATTCGTTCAATATCTTTAAGTAAAATGTTATGCCAGATTTCAATTGATTCTAATTGACAAAAGAAGAGATAGAGATTTTGTTTGGGAGGTGGGGTACAGGGAAGATATGTAGGTTAACATCATGACATTAAGTTGGTTAAGTTAATTGGATTGTTTGCAATGAAAGGATGATTTGTTGAAGAAAATTGCACAGTCCGTAGTATCTTAATTATGTTTTGTATTTCGAAGAAGAAAAAACAACATTCCAGGTGTCCGTCAAGCCACACTATGATAGCACTGACTGTTTTAGTTATTGTGATGTGTTATGCCGAAGTTGGTATCAACATTGGGTGTTCACGATTACAAAAACTTGATATTGAGCGATAAATGTACATACCTGCAGATACTTAACCAGTGTCTATGCAATCTGAATAGTTCTGGAGGGTTAGTGGAAACCATTTTTTTTGATTTTGGGAGTCTTGAATACTCATCACAGATACCAAATCAAAATTGATTCCTCACAGTTCCATATAATATCCAAAAAAATGAGAAGATTGCTATTTTATTTTGTTTCTTTTTTAATTATTATTTTTGAAACAAAAGTTTCATGAACTCAATTACCCTCCTTTTTTGAACATGATGCCATTACTTATATCCTGGTGTAAATGATGTGACTGAATAGACAGTAGATTTTTTTTGTTTTTTTTACACTCTTGTTACAATATATGAAAAAGATGTTTTCTGATGTGTCTGAATGTTTTTGTTAATGAGATGTTACATATTTATACCTAATCGGTAGAAAGTGAATACAGTGTAATATCGATTGTAAGAACCACATAGTTGTGTATGTGTATGATTTAATGTTTTATTGTCTGATGGAGAGGTTATCTCCCTTTGAATGAATTGAGAGTATTTATAGATCATGAAAGTTCATAAATATTATGGTTGAATGGCAGCTGATTTGTGCGTGTTGGTACAAATGTGACGTATGTATGTTTGTAGAAAAATTGACATTCACAATTACTTGTGTAGATGATATTGTGTGGTTCATATATATGTAGGTAGACGTGATCAATTGAAGTTGGACGTTTCTGCTACCTGGCTATATGTACAGGATTAACATACAATCTTCAACATTGTTTAAATGAGAAACACATGTATGTGCGTTTGCATTTTGTGTGAATGTGGAGCGCATGCCTTGCCCTTTCACCCCGAAAGTCACATTTGAACCTTATAAAATCATAGGCTGGGCAAGTCCAGTTTAGATATGTAGGGGTGAATTAGCTAATGGTAGTAAATATGGAACACATGTTGAAAAGAGTTGGTGTGTAAATGTATGGACTGTATTTTAATGGCAGCGAGTAATTGTGGAACACATGCTTGCAGTAAATATATGTGTTGTGAAGAGAATTGTGTAAATTTGAATTTCGAACTATACATATTTAATGCCAGTATAAATGAGCAAATTTGAAGCGTTTTAGCTGTAAATGTGTTTATAAATATGATTGTATAGTCGATGACACTAAGTTTGTGACGTCCTTGACATTGATTATAAATCTGTGGTAAGAATTTGTGTCGGGTATGTTTACAACAATCATGTGTATTTGCAATGATCATTCTATTACAATCATGTGTACATAGTTTGAATGTAACTTAAAATGTAAGACTTGTGTGTGAATTAGTCATTTATATTTCTTGAAAACTCATTTCAGAATTGTTCTTATTCTAGTGATAATATTGAGTGTATCAACCAAATAATGAGGCATAGCGGGTAATTGGAATATACTCAAATGCTGCAAGTCAGGAAAGTGAGAGAGAAAAAATGCAGCAACTCTGACATACAGTGATGTCTGTTACATTGTATGAACTGATGTCAGCTGTGAAGAATATATGAGCTGTAAATTTGTGCACACGTCCTATATTTGTTAAAATACCTACATGCTGAGTTGTGTACAAATGTTGTTGCACCCTGTCCGAGGGTGAAATGGAAATAAAACTGATAAACAAAGTAAACTTGGTGTTTGTTTTCATGAAAAAAGAAACCCGATATATAATAATAAAGTTTTACTTTATACATATTAAACATCGCAATGTTTCAAGACCTACTTGCCCCTTTGGCAAGCTATGACTGAGTGAACGATTTGTATTGTTTACATGTACAACCATGTGATGAAATTGTATTTGTACTCGTCCTGGAAATTGTCTATTGATATAGAGTGTATTGGCACTATATGGAATAGGAAACAATACACATAGCTTGAAAAGGGACCAGTCAGGCTTGAAACGTAAGTAAAACTTGGATATGACATATATTTCCAAACTGATGAATCTTAATGAAGAAAATATATGATGTTCCCTTTGTAGCAAACGTGCATGTGCTTCACATTTATTTGATCTTGGACCAAGAGGATGACGGTGTTCCAATAACATTACACAGCACACTTGTGAGTGATGCAGGTATACATCCAGGGGTTACATTCACTCTCTGCACCCCTGAAATGTGTCATAGCAAAATTGAAGGTGCAGTGTGCACCACCTTGTGGATGAGACGAGAAGACTAATTTGACCTTTTGATGTACATCAAAAGAATCTTGCGGTCGCGTCACAGTTGAACTAACTGGCTTTGAAGTTGGGCGTCGCTCCTCTATAATCTTCAAAGAACAGGTAAGAGTCTAGTCTAACAGTTGGTCAGGATTTTTTACCCAACACCAATCAAATAGCTAGTCGCATGCCTTCAATTTTTCTATGACATAGGCTAATCGAGGATGGTATACATCAAGGTTCATAAAGATCTCTCGACAGTTTAAAATATCAAGCTTTTGCACTTATTTGATGCTTGATATGATCCTCATTGATGTAAATGTCTAGGTCAAGATATCTATGCCAACTAATGGCTCCATTACCACTCCATGCATTTATAAGATGCTTAACCCCCTTGGCCCATGAATGCTCTCAAATACAACTTTTAGGCAAAGTCTCTTGCCATTTTAGACTAGCGGTCTACAAGCAAGGCGAGCTTAAAAGATAAATCACAACTCAACCATAGAACTTTCTTCGTTTTATTTGAGAGATTGTGTCCAAAAGATTTCTGGCAGCTTTTATTTGCCTTGTACCTAAGTTACATTAGTAATCAAGGAAAATCTAAAATTGGTTCTGCATTACAAAATACTCTCATCAACAACAACGGTAACCAAATACAATTACACAAAGAGGCCCCAATACGGGGCTATATTGCTCATCTATTAATACCGGTAGTATTTAATACATCAAAAATATACCAAATTCAAGGAAAGAATGCTGAGCTTCCAACCCATCAGTCATATGTGATATACTTCTTGGATTTTAACAACCCAGAATATATTCTTAAAGGATATAATATACCCCATGGCAAACCCCCTACATTATACTAAGGTATTATGTGAACAAACAGGAATTAATACTTTCATTATCGAAATGAAAATTGAGACAATAAATGTAGTACATATTTGATCAGTTGTGAATAGGTTACCCTGAAAGCCTTAGAGCATATGTTCAGAAAAATTCAGAAAAAGGTTTATAGATAATGTGCTATATACAGTGCCTAAAACTCTCTGCCAGAATAAATAAAAGTGCATCAAGAAATGATTTTTTTCACATAACAATTAATTAAACAATAACTCAGCTACCATAGTAACACTAGTATCACACTTTGATAAAGCACACACAAAAAACTTTCACTAACAAAAAAAATACCTTAAAATAAGTTTTCTATTTCCTTTCATCCACAATTCATTGTTGTTCTTGCCAAGTTTACTGAAGTATTTTGCAATTACTATCAATTTTTTTCTCTTCTGTAATAATTCCAGAATAGGATTGTAAATCAGGAGCAGAGCAACAGCAAAACTAGTGTTTGGGTTGCATTGGTGGGAAGTAAATTATTCTCGGCTTACTTTTTAAGTACTCAAAAAGATATCAGTTGACTGGCTTTTGGCTCTCCCCTTCCACACATAAAAAAATATTCACAAAAATTAAGTGACCCACATTGCATATTCAGATTATTGAAATATTGAATATCTTACAAAACAGTGGTTTTAACATCTAAGATCACTAACAATCAAATTAATGACAATCAGATCAAGACGGATAGAATAGATCAATTAAAACTTCAGAAATAAGTATCAGCAGGAATAAAAACATTGATCAGCATTAATTCACAGTCAGAGTATTGTAAGTATAACCATTTAGTCCAATGCCTCTGGCAAACTTTTCAGACATGAACAAAAGGGCAATAACTCTGTACATACAAAATATGATTTCAGTACGAGACATCTTGTCATCTTAGAGGTACAAATTTGATCACACAAAATGTGTATGTGTCCAACAGTACATGTATACTGTAATATATGCCTGGCATAAGTGAACTTAAAGGGCAACAACTAATTTACTTAGGACACCAGACCATGAGGTTTTAGTATGTAACAATGTCCGATTCTTGTATAGTGTAAGATATGCCTGGCCAAAGTGAACGAAGGGTATACAAAATACAGTTGCAAAACTGTTAATTACACGTTGTATGCACAGGGGCAAGGCACAGACCAACCCCACCCCCTTATAAATAGACACTATATATATATAAGCATATACAGGGGGGGGGGGGGGGGGGGGGGGTTGGTCTGAGCCTTGCCCTTGTGTTGGCATAATATTACATGTACAGGGTTAATTTAACTCCACATACCTTTCATAAAGACAGCCAGCACAGTTAGATTCCCCACCAAGTAAGTACATTCTTGCCATATCACAATAAATTCTACATCAACATTTAGAACCATTTCTTTCACATTTAAAGCATGCACTGGGTAACAAAAACGTTCTACCTGAGCTTAATTTTTGCCAGTTGGTCTTCCAAAGAAATGTGCAGTTTTGTTTGCATGTAATCAATCTGTAACTATCCCCTTCAAAATCTTTAATACAAAGGATAATTTCTTTTTTTTCTCTACAAAACAGGTCCTGATTGTTCAACATAACATATCTATATACATTAATTTTAAGTCAGAAAGTCAAACTCTATGTGCATAAAAATATTTAAAAATGCAATGAATATGTACATTTTATGCTTAGTCACAGCATTGACAACTAAATCCATGGTCACATTTCTCAAACTGATCACTAGAGACGACAACAGGTACATTAATGGCCCATCTAGATATGTCAGGGGTTATGCTCACTTTCTCTCTCTGCACCCCTGGAATATGTCATAGCAAAATTAAAGGCTAAGTGTACACCACCTTGTGGATGAGACATCACTGGCTTGATCTTTTGATGTACATCAAAAGAACCTTGTACATCAAGATAACCTTGTACATCAAGATAACCTTGTACATCAAGATAACCTTGTACATAAAGATAACCTTGTACATCAAGATAACCTTGTACATCAATATAACCTTGTACATAAAGATAACCTTGTACATCAAGATAACCTTGTACATAAAGATAACCTTGTACATCAAGATAACCTTGTACATAAAGAGAACCTTGTACATCAAGAGAACCTTACGGTCCCCTAACAGTAAAATTGACTGGCTTTGAAGTTGGGTGTTGCTCCTTGGTAATTTTCAAAGGATAGGCATCAGCTAGCAAGGTGATTGGTCAATTTCTTTTTACCCGCGACCAATCAAATCGCTTCCCTCGTGCCTTCAATTTTGCTAGGATATAGTCCAAGGGTGCAGAGAGCATAAGTGAGCGTAACCCCTGGAGTATCGAAGATGATTATGGCCATGTAATACATGCTAATTACAATGTACTAACAATTCACTCTGAACCTTACTATTTATTTTGTTAGTCAACAATTTACAAACACATCCTGCTTACAGTAATATTTGATACAAATGTATCAAGAGTCAAAGTAATACATGTATGAGTTCTTAAATAAATCACACAATCTGTGTTGGGGGGGGGGGGCCGGGGGTTGGGGCAATATTTTAACCAATTTTTTTTCTTAAAATTATCAAATTGTTAATCAGTGATAATGACACTAACAAACACTTAGAAGTTCTAGAATCTATTTTTTTTCTGTGGTTATATGCCCAATATAAATATATAGAATATATATATATATAAATATACACATTTCACAAAATATTTGTTATTTTTGCAAGGAGTGGAATCCACAAATGTTTTGGGCATCTACATTTTATTTGGAAATCTTAATTAGAATATAGAAAAAATTAACTCCCTATGTTGGGCAATTCAGTTTCTTAATAAGTCAGGATTTGGTCTTCATTTTACTCTTCAATTTAAATGACAAAGCTAAATTACACTCTAGAAATAACAGCTAGGTGATTGGTCAATAACTGGGAAACAATCTTACAAAGAAAGGAAAAATTACCATTTTTAAGTCTTTTATTCTATCAAATTTTAACTATTGTCCACTTGCCTGGCACTTTTGTACCTTGACAAATACTCGAAAATGGAAAAAGTCCAGGAACGAGCACTTCGTTTTATTGAAAATGATTATGTTTCCCCAGTCATTGATATTCTTAGAAAACACAAACTTGATGTTTTACATGTAAAACCTATGAAAGATATGGCCTCTGAGGTTTTTAAAATTTTAAATGAAATTTCTCCATCAATTTTACAAAATCTTGTTGAGACGAAAGAAGTTTTTTACGATCTGAGACAAGATAACCTGGTAAAGATTCCAAAGGTGAACACCTCCACATATGGTAAAAGATCTTTCCGATTTGCTGCTTCCAAGGTGTGGAACAGCCTACCAAATGAACTTCGATTAGCTGAAAACTATAAGTCATTCCGTGGGCGGCTCCACACCTGGAACAAAAATGTCTGCTCATGTGCTATCTGCACACACCATATAGTGTGAGTTGTCCCCCTTTGGAATCTACCTACATGTTTTATATAACAACTATTTAATTTAATTTCACTGCTGCTTGTGTTATTTAATTTAATGTACTTCAGTAATATACGTATTATATAATTGATATTTATTTTAGATTTGAGCTCCATTATTTAAAAGATCATTACTTTTTTACAATATCATAATTATAGCTCTTGTTTCTATTTATGACTTCATTGTCCCTTTTTAATTCACACTATATTAGTGTATATCCTGTAAATTATTACACTTTGCTACATTAGCATATATGTACATTACACTAGTATATAGTGTCTTAACTTGTCTTTCATAACACTTGTGTGACATACAAGTGTGATATTATATGCTCTACTGTATAATTTTAGCATATCTAATTTGAATTGTTGTCCTGATTTTATAGTTATTCATAAGTACTGTGATCCTTGTTAAATTTTATATATGTTTTGTCGCAAGAATAGCACTACAGTGCTAATGCTATTATGTTACATGTATATGCGACGTTAAATAAAGCTTCTTGAATCTTGAATCTTGAAAAGGACTCCTCCCTTCCAAATTCCTGTGTCTGCCCCTTAGCTTATCCAGAAATGTTTGTTTAAGCTATTTTCTACAGATGTATTGCAATTTAAACACATCTTGTAATTCATTTTACAGAATCACATGTGCTTGTAATTTGAGTATTTGGAAATATACAACAATGAACAAAATACCAGGGGTTAAATCCCACAAATTTACAGTGTTGCTATTATAATAAATGCAAAGCATCAAAATGAAATATCATAACACTCCAAAGGGAAGTAACTCTCAGCCAGAAAAACTCCATTGATGTTTGTCTATCATCTGTATAAGGAATAATACTCTGAAGGTGTAAATTAAAGCAAGCCCCGAGTGGAAATCTGTTTAGGACATACTGGAGAGGGGGTTCCCTGTACCTTAATGCAGTTTTACTTGTCACTGTCATCATCTGGTATGAGGAGAACTATTGGTACACAGCTTAAGCTTGCTATGTAACATACATTGCAATATATGGTTCCATTGTAAAGTGTGAAATAAACAATAATTAGCAATTATTCATATTTAATGCAGTTTAACGTGCATTGTCATGAGTTATGTATTAGGGTAAATATTTTAACAATTATATATAGACATTTGTGTTGAAAGAAAAATATTTTGCTGGGAAAAATATTTCGTATACTATAATTCAATTGATACAAACTATAGCTGTTAGCCTTTTAACATTTAATATGTAGCAAAAAAATCTATTTATCGAATAGGTAAAATAATATAATTTCAAAATAAACAGTTTACTTTTATGGATTAAGCCATTTTATGTTAACTTTCAAATTTTTATGGTATTCTGTTTGCATTTGCAATATACATCTTCTCAAAGAGTCACTCACTTTGGGCTATTAACAATTGTCATGACATAAAATTCTACCATTTTTTCCGTGCAAGATAGACAAAAGCTTTACCCAACTAGTGGAAAATCCTGATAAATTAATTATGTAGCTGAAAATATTAATAATTCATATGTAGATGGTTAAAAATAATAAAACAGATATTCTAATACAGAAAAATGCTGAAATAATGCGTAAGATTTTTCATCAGGAAAAAACACACAATGCTTGATTACTATGGTTGATAGCCTTATACGTGTATTACAATTGTTAGTCAAAAAAACATATACATGTACCATGTTCCTCAAAAACCATAATATCCATATGTTTAAAACATGCAGCAATATACAATTTTTAAATGCCTTCAAACAACAATATATCAATTACTTAATGCCAAATAATTATGGGTGGATTGGTCGAGTGGTTAACACTCCGGCCTTCCACGCAGGCAGACAGGGTTTAAAATTTGATCCCCGAAGTCGTTGTTTGCATGGATATTCAGAGAAAGTGTTTTTCTCCTGTCCACACAACTCCAACCACCCAGGTGGTGAATAAATTGGTCAGTATCTGTCCAGTAGTAGTCAAGTGAGGTGGCACTATAAATGATACCGTTGGAAGCACAGTCCCACTACAAACAGAACACATCACATCTCCAGCACACACACAGGCATACACACATAGGGAGATATTAGCCAGGTGGCATAGGACTATAGTAGTTAGCGCCTGATATCAGGCAGCTCCTGTGAATTCCTCAAAAATTGTATTGATTAATGTATATGCTAATTGTATTATACTGTACTTGTATATCTATGTACTGTAAAGCGCTTTAGAGAGGGTCATGTTAGCTAGATATAGGGCGCTATATCAAATGGTGTATAAAAAAAAATTAAAATCAAAACTGTCTCAAAATCTAGCAACTACCATGATAAATGTCACAAACTTGTATAATTAAAGTCAATGAGAAACATGGCCCGACAAGGATTTGAACCTTAATCTTTGGTTATTGCACTAGCACTCTAACCTAATGTGGAGCTGTCAGGCTAGCATTTATAGTAGCCTGGCACAGTTATATCCAAAACTAATCCAAGGGGATTGAGGTTAATGTAGGTATGAACATGAACAGTGGAACTCTCCAGTGTTTTGCCTGCAGTTGGACAGGGATCTTGAAGTACACAAAGAATACCCCCAACAATGTTTTGTGGCATTCTATATTGGCAATACCCAGAGAGTTACTTTGGCTATTACAAATTGTAGAAAATGTGAAATTTTATCATCTGTTCCATTCAAAAGAAGAAAGTTTTACCTTGTTAGGGTAATGGAAATAAAGACAGCTTGTTAATAAAGATAATTTTCGCTCCCATCTAATTAGAAAGGTTGACTAACTGTTTTGTAAACCATAATTTGTATCGTTTACTATGGCACATAATTGATATTATAATTACATAATGTTATTCTCAATATTGGCTTGCAATTTAATGTACAAAACATTTCATCATCACCAAATTGGTAAAGGATCTACCAGTTTTCGTGGAGGTATATCTGTGGTCAGTGTTAAACAAACTGTTCAAACTGTGATAGTTGTTATAATTAGGGTAACACCCTTAACGATGTACAAAAACATGTAAAGGTAAAAGATTAGATTTAGGAATATTAAGCCCAGTGGTTATTTTATTCAAGTTCTAAGAATGGAGTTGGTGTGTACTGGTACGTACAGCTGTACATATATGGTACGGCTACATAAATAGTCCTGCAAGATCATTTGTCTGCAGAAGATTGTGTATCTAAATGCTTTGTTTCAGTCAGACTAGATTTGTTAGGAATTGAGTTGCTTTAGGAATTCAGGATATCAGAACCATACAGATTGGTCCTCCACTGCAAGGAATTTAGACTGGTCTCTGTAATAAGTTGACCATAGTCTCATTCTCATTTCTAATAGTTCAGGCTAACAAACCAAGGTTTCAGGTCTGGACTCCAATGGATTCTGACCAAAAACTGACCAAGGCCTTATATCCACACTGTTTGGGATTCAGACTGGCCCAATCTGACTGTACCCCACTAACTGATTGTTGTGGATGGCCTGAACATGTGTTCCCTCTCTATTATTAAGACATGCCCCACATAGGTCACTGGCCCTCCATGCCCACACTCAATAGGATATCAGATATGTTCTGGCCATGGTCTTCGGTCTACACTGTAAGGAATTCTGGTTTGCTTATTAATAGTCTCCTATCCACACTACAGGGAATTTAACTGGACTAGCTAGCTTGACAGTGGTCTCGGGGCCAAACTTCCAAGAATTCAGTCTTGGGCCCAAACTGACAGGAATTCAGGCTTTGGCCCAAACTGACAGGAATTCAGATGTTGAACAAAACCAGAATATAATAAAAGATAGATGATGTTAAAAATTTATATATATATAAAGTTTGCCAAAAAAACCTCCAAAAACTATAAAAAGGTCTGGTCCTTTTTCCGACCTCTATACAATAATTTGACCTTGACATTGGATTATAACTTTTCACAGCTATAGCATCAATATCGAGTTGTTAAACACCCAAGATCACATACTTCTTCAGTTTCTTATGGTAAATCAGCATTTGATCCACTTTCTTCAAGATTTTATTCAAGGTCACAACTCAAGGTCATCATTCAAGGTCAGCGATGTTTGGTATTCTTCTTAAGGTCGACAAGCAGATGAATCAATATATACAGTTCATGATACACCAGCAATTGATACACCTTTTATTTTCTTCCAAGGTCACCCCTTCAAGGTCAAAGCTTCGAGGTCACTAATCTTTGGTATTTTACTCAGGGTCACCAGGTACATGTTTCAAATGTGTATAGAAAATACAAAACACAAAGCTTGTGTGTGAGGGTTCATTTCTGGTCAACAATCATAAATGTTTTTTTGTCAAGTTCATATGTTGTTAAATATTGTCAACATAGGCTAATGGTATAGGACATCGACATTCCTGAATAATTTGGTCACAGATGAAACATGCTTTAAAGGAGTGCCTTGAGGTCCATATGTAAAGTATTCAGTGTTCTGGTCGCTATTATTTGGTTCCATCACTTCTGTACTGCATATTTTTTCTTGCCCACTTCATTCACAACACATACATGCTGAAATAGAAAGAAAACAATTAATAAATTATATATAGCCAGTGTTTTATTTTGCCTGCTTCTACAGCGGAATACAGGCAGCTGCTTCCCCCAGCTAAAAAAGTGCTTTGTATTCCCAAAATGAAGAAAAAAATGAGGAATGTCTTCCCAATTTCAATAAAACTAATGTTGTATTTTCCCAATTCATGTAGGAACAGGCTGTTGTAAAATTTAGGTTTAAAAATCCCTGATAGCCTATTGTTAATTAGCTGTTCTGCACCTGGTGCAAGTTAATAAGCTATTCCACTTTTGGTAAACACAAATCAAGAATCCCAATGATGTTAATGGGTCAGCAAGCCGCAGCGTAGAATACATGGAATGATGGCCAATTGCAATTTCATCATGATCATGATGATGCAATAAAAAAAACACATTATCTCAATCAAGTTACTTCAGCCTAATAATATTAGAAAGATTTATTTAAAAATAGCGTCTGAAAAAAAGTTTGCAAACTACCAAAAACAACTTGTTAGTGAAATCAATATCCAAATGCAACTCAAAAAATAAAACCATAAGCAGGGTATATCTCCTATATTTAAAGTGTTTAGGATTTAGTTTCATTTGGTTGGATAACTTCACGTCCAGAAATCCAAATGGGCAGCCAATACATTTTCAGTATAGCTAAATTTATAGTAAACTTATGTTTATTAAGCAAGTCCTGAATTTTAAAATTCTGGTGTTCCTATTGAATTTTTGAGTTCTAATTTTAAAAACAAATTTAGCATAGAAGTGATGGTAGAAGTACTTAAGATAAAAATGAAAATCAAACTAATCATTGGGACTTTATTTATCAAAATCTTTTGTATGAATACTTCAGGCACAAACTTTACAGATGGCTACTGGCAGCCATATTGAATTTTGGAGAAAGCTTACTATAGTAATTCTGTTTGACATTTATAACCTGACCAGTATTTTGATAAAAGTTTAATAAAAATCAAGGCATCTCTTTAAAACTTAATTATAGCAGGGAACCACTTAAGGTGCCCAAATCCCAGATTTGCACTCACGCAGCGGTGAGTTTCAGATCGAGGTAAAGATATTAAAACATGAATGGGTAATTGATACTACAAGTATTTGTAAGTTTCATAAAGATGAAAACATTCTTTCAAGAATCCTGGCACGGAAACCTTTGTGCAGATGACACCGAATAATCAAAATTACAGAGGAACAATCAATTAAACATAATGAACAATCAACGAACAAATAACATTACTGGATGAATTAGCCAGAGTAAAATGTTACACAGTATGAACATTCCATGTGTATGAACATTCCATGTTGATGAACCATCAGTAAACAATCAGTAAACAGTCAGTACTACTTAGTGAACTAGCAATGTAATTTAATGAACAATTAATGTAACCCCATGAACAATGTTATTTGCTGAACAATTAATAAACAATGTTCCTTGATCAGTGAACATTTATTGTTACCCCGTGAACAATGTTATTTGCTGAACAATTAATAAACAATGTTACTTGATCAGTGAACATTTATTGCTACTTTATGAACATTTAGTGAACATTTATTGTTACCCCGTGAACAATGTTATTTGCTGAACAATTAATAAACAATGTTACTTGATCAGTGAACATTTATTGCTACTTGATGAACATTTAGTGAACATTTATTGTTACCCCGTGAACAATGTTATTTGCTGAACAATTAATAAAAAATGTTACCTGATCAGTGAACATTTATTGCTACTTTATGAACATTAAGTGAACATTTATTATCACATTTTTTACAAATAGTGAACATATATTGTTACTTTATGAGCAAACAGTGAACAAGTATTGTTACTTTATTAACAATGAACATTTCTTGTTACTTTAGTAACATTCAGTGAACATTTATTGTTACCCCATGAACAGAGTTATTTGCTGAACAATTAGTGAGCATTGCTACTTTATGAACTAGGAACATTCAGTGAAGAATTATTGATACTTAATTATGAACAAACAGCAAACATTTTCTTATACTTTATGAACATTTAGGAAACATTTATTGGCTTTGTGAACATTCAGTGAGAATTTATTGTTACTTTACGAACATTTAGGGAACAATTATTGTTACCCCATGAACATTTAGGGAACAATTGTTATTACTGAGCACAATTACAATTGGCAGTGTAAATAAACAGTATTAGCTCTTAATCAAGGAATACAAAATAACAGGTTCTAATTTTGGGACAAATGCACTACTTCTTAAATATTTTCTGATTTTTCCCCCCACAGTTCTGCCAATTACAGATAAATAAATTCACAAACACACACTCCCTATAAGATACACTGAATAAACCCTTCACTGAATAAACTCAGGATTAAGTGTAAAGACATCTATTATATTTACTTTGTCTTATAAAACAATCATTGTTACTTACCTGATAGTTAGCAAATGTATACAACAATATGTATATCAAAGTTTATCAAAACTATATATCCAGAACAATATGTATAATTGAATTTTATGAACATTTTATATATACAGAACACTTACTCAAAATTTCTATTATATAAATAACATTTTTTTTTTTAAATGTACCTTTAGAATACATTAATTTGTAATTACAAGTACAAAACATTTTGTATTATATTAAAAGATGGAATCCAACTTATATTTTTTGTATTTTGATGATAATTTACTTACATGCTATTGTTGATGCAATAAATTAAATATATATATATATTGGATATGAGTGTGATATTATGAAGCAATCGTGCTGAAAGCCAACCAGCAGCACATCATTCCTGTGTGTGGTATATACGGGTATACTTTCAAATCCAAGGGTTACCAGATTTTACCTTGCCTTCACATGTTAGACATTGAAGCAATCATATATATATATATATGGTACCTTATTTAAAAAATAAAAAAACGATTTGATAACTAAAATCATCTGCTTAATTTCGTTCAGGGAAAAATACTTTTACATAATTCAATTTATCTGAAACATCACCTATCTGACAAATCATAAAAACATAATGCTTATGTTCATATATTTCAGTCAATCACCAGCTGCAATTAATGTAAATCCACAATCAAAATTTCTCTACAAATATTTTACACGCGACTGAAAACAATTGCAGTAAGTTACAACAAACCTGGTTAAGTTGGACTTGTCATACTGCCACCATTTATCAAGGAAAATAATGGTATTATACAGGAATTTGGCAATATTAGGCAAAGTCTTACTTCAAAGGAGTTAATAAGGAGAAATGGAAATTGGACATTAAAAAGAAATGGTGGCAATAATCAAGTCAGAAAATGGAATGAATTTAAACCACAAAGCAATGCTAAGCTTGTTTTCCCTGCTGCATAGCATGTTTTCCCAGCTGCATTTGTTCCTGCATAGAGTTTTAATTTCGTGTAGTCAAATAGATTCACAGTTTTGATATCTGGGCCAGCCCGCGCCCTAGTCTTACACATTTAAATCATGCAAGACCATCAATGGACGACAGTTCTACCCATAGTTCTGTACTGGAAGGGTAATACATTGGTGGGATTCGTATTTCTCACATACATTTGCGAGCCTCAGAAAAAAAGAAAAAAAAAAGAAAAAAGAATCTACCACGAAATTAAAGTGCAATACAGTTGGAAGCAGCATCATATAAAGTAGAACCTTGTAAATCCAGAAAAACTAATGAAGTTAAGTTTTGGAAGAAATGAAGCAGGACTGTTGCTTCAAGTCCTGTAGAGGAAAAGATCCTGAAATGGATTTTTCTGGATAACTGAAATGAAGGTAAGCAAAGTTCTACAGTGTTCAGCACTCAAGCATTGCGGTGATGATGTTAGGACTGGTAACAGCATATTTTACCAGCAGTAATATAAGCCCATGCTTAGTATTTACAAGAGATATCAACGGGACCTTGACACACACCATGATAACATCTTCATTTGCTTTATGTACGTTTGATTTGTTTCCTTCATTTCCTTTCCTTTCTCTTACCTGTCGGATTGACAGTGACTTCTCAACAGTAAATGTATCTTGAGGCAACTTTTGATCAAAACTTGTATACTGTTGGGTTCGAAAGTTTCCTTTCAAAGTGAGGTCATTGTTCCTTATTTACTTATACAGAATTGGTGATAACAAACTTGAAAAACTCTCTCAAGTCCAAGATGACTGTATCGTGAACATCTTGATTTTCTGATCATTCCTAAAATGAATCATGTACAACTCTGTAACAAGGGGAACCTTCATATGAAATTTACTTAGGTAATAATGATCAGTCAGGTACTTCTTGAGAATTAGCGATAACAAACTTATACTGTCCAAAATCCAACATGGCTACCTGGCAGCTATCTTGCAATTTTGATTAGTCAAAAATTATTTTCCTCAAATATAGAGGAACCTACTTATGAAATTTGAGAAAGATTTATCAAGAAATTTTTGCAAAATAGCAATAACAAACTTGAACGTTCCAAATTGACCTGCCCACCAGGTGGCCTGATCTTGTTTTTTCTATCAGTATCAAAATGAAACATGTGCAACTATGGACCTAGGGGAAACTATATTTGAAGCTTGAGAAAGATCTGTTAAGTACTTCTTAAAAAATAGCCATTCAAATTTGAACTCTCAAAATCCGGGATGGCTACCTTGCAGCCACCTGGTTTTCTGATTGCATGGTCCCAAAATAGAATATGCACAACTATATTGACCACAAGGAACCTACATTTGAAAGTTCAGAAAGACCTGTCAAGTATACTTCTTAAGTAACAGTGATAACAAGCTAGAAATCTCAAATTCTAAGATGACTGCCTGCATGTGGCCATCTTTTTTCCCCCTGATCAGTCCTAAAATGAACATACAGCATAACTACGGATCAAGAAAAAACAGGTTTGAAAATTTGATAAAGATTTGTTTGAATATTTCTTGTGAAATCTGACGATGTTGGGCTCAAGACACTGCATCTCTGTTAAACAGATTTTGCTGAGGTAGAACTATTGCTGCCTGATTAATAGTTATATTTCATAAAGCTCTGTTCTCCTAAACTTACACCAGGAAAAAAACAGTGATGTGATATATTACCCCATACAATTCCTACTTGATGTCAGGGAGAGAGTCTGACGATGGCCAGTACGTAGTCCAATTATTTATCTCTAGAGATATCTTGAAAAACAAAGAAAAACCTCTTTAACTCTAGTCCAACTGGACAGAGATGTTGTCTACTTAAAGGTTGGAAAGTGTTCTTGGGTTCTAATGACATCTTTGTGGACTGTGGAGTTACCCTAGGTTTGGAGTGTGTAGTTCAATATCTGCATTAAGGGAAAGAATATCTCCAGAATCGATCTAGAGTTGGACAGCGCAGATGAATCAAATGAACTAGACTACCATCCCTTAAGAAACAGGATCATTTTTTTCAAAATGGGAATATGTTGACTGTTGGAAACAAGGTTCTGAGCAGGCAGTAAACATAAAGTCCTCCTTGACCTCTGACCCTCTGAGCTAGGACATCAAACAGACACTAACCAAAGAAAGTTATAAATATCATACCCTACTACATACTTACCGCTACTTTTGAACTTCTTTTTACATAATGAGGATCTCAGAAGTTTGCTCTCAATATATTTCAGAGAAGTTTACGTCCATAAATTTTATTTCCCAATCTCAAAAAATGATGTTAAGAAAACTTTACTTTATTAGTTCAAATCCTCTGACAAGAATCTTAAAAGTCTTTTTATATACCGTAGACTTAAAGAGATCTTTCATCCTCAAAATTCCTTACATTCTTTGCACCCCTTGAATATGTATGTCATGACTAAATTGAAGGCACATAATTAGCCATTTGACAGTTTTCAGGTATATAAAAACCAGACTAATTACTAGGCCGATACCTGTCTTTTAAAGATAACAGAAAAGCGTCAACTGACTTCAGTGCCAGTAATTTTACTGTTAGGGCTCCACACGATTCTTTTAATGTACATCAAAGGCTGCAACAAGTCTTAAAATTATATCATCCAAAAGATGGCTCAAACAGGGCAATGCAATTTCATCATGACATATTCCTGGGGTGCAGAAAATATACGAGACTAGAGCAATACCCCTGAAGTTTTAAGGATGGAGATTCTCAATTGATATAATAATGAGTCATTTTTGAGATTTTCCACATAAGGAATATTCTGAATCTTCAATATCACAAAATGTGATTTACTGAAGGTATATTTGACATAAATTATATGATGTCATAAGAAATGTTTGAAAATCTTCAACAAAAATTCTGACTTCTGAATTCTCTTAGCTAGTGTTCCAAGATCGTACAGTTGTAATGAGAAGTTAAAAGATGTAGTTGTAATGGGGTATGCTATCTATACGGTTACCTTCAGACTGCAACAGTAACCTGCAATATACTACTTACGTTCAGGTCACGGTACATTTCATTGTAGTCCAAAGCATAGCCTACAATGAACTCATCAGGTAGTTCAAATGCTGTGTCTGAAATAAAGCAAACGCCAATCTGTTTAGATTTAACCCCTTGAATTTTGATTTTACATTTATATGGTACTCACATTGAGATCACGGTAATATTCGTTGTAGTCTATAGCGTATCCGACTATAAACTCATCGGGAATCTCAAATCCTGTGTCTGTAACGCAACAAGAAGCAGGTTAAACATGTGTAATAATAATAATAATAATTTGAGGTTCTTATATACCGCTTTATCACAACCTAGTTATTAGGTCATCTCAAAGCCATTCACAAATTAGTATCAGTGGTTATAGGGCGTTTGCAACCAGCCAACATCTTTCTCAACTCCCTGGGGAGTAATGATAAAAATAACCAACAAATTTTCCAGCAAATTTTCATTGATGTTATATTACCAATGTTTTGTAAATAAAATCCAGCATGAAAATGTGTTTGTTGCAACAACAGTAGTTACTAGTACCGTTTTAATATAATTTTATTTTATTAAGGATTACTGCACCACTGCCAAAAACAGTAACTTAGTACTATAGTATTGGAAACTATCAGCAGGACCAGACTGGGATTCGAACCCTGGACTTAAGATTGTTATACCATCGCTCTAACTGATTGAGCTACCTGGTGAACGAAAATGTCCTAGCCAAACTGTGCTACAGTTATATCTAAACAAAAGTTAAGGGGAGGTCAAAGCACACTACACTGGGACAGGGATCCTTAAAAGGGCATAGAATTATATGACCCTTTGACCTTAAATGCAACTGAATCTTGATCAGTGTCATTTTGAAGTGTCTCTATCTAATATGAGAACTGACCATAAGAAGCAAACATTAAGTTGACGTTGACTGATCAACCTACCATTGGTTTTTGTGGGTTAATTTGTACAGTATTTTAAAAATGGACCCAACATATTAAATTAGACATCTTAGTCCCATCAAAATGCTATGAGTATATAACTAATGACTCGATCAGCCTTTGTCGAAGCAGGGGTATAAAATTTATCTGAAATTTGATCTTAATATTTGGCCTTGATCTGAAAAAATCCCATGGTATAAACACAGTGTCTTTATAATACAGTTGTATAAAGATATTACCATATCTTAAAGAAATTATACACCCGACATTAAAAAGAACTCATGGATGATCATTAACTTGAACTGATTGATTGGTACATTTTTTCTGGTATAGACATGGACTATGAACTGATTGTCATTGGTACATTTTTCTGGTATAGACATGGACTATGAACTGATTGTCATTGGAACATTTTTCTGGTATAGACATGGACTATTAACTGATTGACATTGGTACATTTTTCTGGTATAGACATGGACTATTAACTGATTGTCACATTGGTCCATTTTTCTGGTAGTCAAGGACTATAAAGTGATTGATTGGTACATTTTTCTGGTATAGACATGGACTATGAACTGATTGTCATTGGTACATTTTTCTGGTATAGACATGGACTATTAACTGATTGACATTGGTCCATTTTTCTGGTAGTCATGGACTATGAACTGATTGACATTGGTCCATTTTTCTGGTAATCATAGACTATTAACTGATTGACATTGGTACATTTTTCTTGTAATCATGGACTATGAACTGATTGACATTGGTCCATTTTTCTGGTAGTCATGAACTATGAACTGATTGACATTGGTCTATTTTTCTGGTAGTTAGGGACTATGAACTGATTGACATTTGTCCATTTTTCTGGTTGTCATGGACTATGAACTGATTGACATTTGTCCATTTTTCTGGTATAGACATGGACTATGAACTGATTGACATTGGTACATTTTTCTGGTAGTCATGGACTATGAACTGACTGACATTGATCCATTTTTCTGGTAATCATGGACTATGAACTGATTGACATTGGTACATTTTTTTGGTAGTCATGGAGTATGAACTGATTGACTTTGGTTCAGTTTTCTGGTAGCCATGGACTATGAACTGATTGACATTGGTACAGTTTTCTGGTAGTCATGGACTATGAACTGACTGACATTGATCCATTTTTCTGGTAATCATGGACTCTGAACTGATTGACATTGGTACATTTTTTTGGTAGTCATGGAGTATGAACTGATTGACTTTGGTTCAGTTTTCTGGTAGCCATGGACTATGAACTGATTGACATTGGTACATTTTTCTCGTAGTCATGGACTATGAACTGATTGACATTGGTACAGTTTTCTGGTAGTCATGGACTATGAACTGATTGACATTGGTCCATTTTTCTGGTAATCATGGACTCTGAACAGATTGACATTGGTCCATTTTTCTGGTAATCATGGACTATGAACTGATTGACATTGGTACATTTTTCTGGTAGTCATGGACTATGAACTGACTGACATCGGTACAGTTTTCTGGTAGTCATGGACTATGAACTGATAGACATTGGTACAGTTTTCTGGTAGTCATGGACCATGAACTGATTGACATTGGTACAGTTTTCTGGTAGTCATGGACTATGAACTGATTGACATTGGTACATTCAGAAATTAATGTTCCAAAAAACATTTTTGCCCTTTGACTTCAATTTTTCAAATTGACATTAGGGGTCCCACAGGTACCCACTGTACACCTTGTGATGGTTATTCTGTGGATAAAATTTATATATTTTCAACTAAATGTTCAAACTTTGGGGGGCGGGG